TTGTTAACGTCAATCCTTTCATAAAGGACAGCAAAAGGGTAAGCAATATTGACAACTACCTCTGCCTCCTTTTCCTGGCTTTTCTCTTTGCCCACTGAATTGTACCAGACTGGCCCTATTTTTCCATTGTTGGCAAGCCGACAAATGGGTTCTATCTATCATAGCGTCTGGCTACCTTATAGAATTCTCCAACTTGCCTCCTTTGGGGTTCATTCGGTACACCCCCTACTCCTCTGATCTGCAGGATGAGGTTACCAAACTTCTCCAGAAACACACCATTTTACCGGTCCCTATTTCGGACTCCCTCAACAGTTTTTACTCAAAATACTTTACTGTTCCTAAGAAAGATGGAGGCTTCTGCACCATCCTTGACCTCACTCACCTCAACCGTTTCATATCTCCCCGTAAATTCCGCGTGCTTACACTGGACTCTACTGTCCCTTTGCTTTTGCAGGGAGATTGGTTCATAATTATCGACCTGCAGGACGCCTATTTCCACGTCTCCATTCATCCAGACCACCAAAAATTCCTCAGGTTTCATTTCAATGGCACTGCCTTCCAATTCTGTGCCCTCCCGTTCGGGCTCTCTACCGCTCCCCGGACTTTCACCAAGTGCATGGCACCGGTAGCCGCCTCCCTTCTCTGCTCTACCTAGCTGTCAACCTCTGGGAGTGGTGCTATTCCCACCATGTTTTCCCTATTGCCGTCCACATTTCCACTGACGACAACACCTTGGCAGACCGGCTCAGTCGGCTACCAATGAGAACACACGAATGGACTCTGAACGATGTCATTTTTCAACAGCTGTGCCGACAATGGGGCACACCTTCAATAGACCTCTTTGCATCCGATGCCAACAAGAAATGTTCCCAATTCTGCTCCAGAGCAGGACGGGACAGCACCTCTCTGAGAGACGCATTCCTGATGGATTGGTCCCAAGGTCTTCTTTACATATTTCCCCCTCTGCCTCTCATCCAGAGGGTGATCGTCCGTCTCTGACAGGATGGGGCCAACGCGATCCTGATAGCCCTGTACTGGCCCCGCCAGCCATGGTTCACTCACCTGGTCTCGATGTTGGCGGACATGCTCCGCCTTCTTCTCCGCCCAGATCTCCTCTTGCTCGACCATGGCCTCGTTCTTCACTCAGACGTCACCTCTCTCAGTCTTGCAGCTTGGAGGATACTCCCGACGTGATGCAGGTTCTTCTTCGAGACCGAAAACCTTCCACTACTTTCCTATATGAAAATAAATGGAAGTCCTTTCTAAAATATACTCATGACAATGACTTACCTGCTATACCTGTCTCTTTGAAGACCCTACTTACTTACCTCCTGCATCTTTTCAGTTTCGGTCTTTCCCAGTCCACACTAAAGGTCTACCTGTCAGCTATTATGGTCCATCAGCCAGACGACTCTCCCTCCTGCAAGTTGTTTTCTCACCCAACTGTCAAAGAATTCCTCAAAGGGCTCAACAACATTTGCCCTCCTGAGCCACGGCTGCTACCCCAGCCATGGCCGGACTCTAGGGAGTCAAGCCATGGCTGAGTTAGCCGCCGTGGGTCAGATCCAAGCCACGGGGGGAGGGAAAAAACCGGATAATCCATTCCTATTGGAACGGATTAACCGGTTTCCAATGCATTCCTATGGGAAATGGTGCTTCACATAACGATGTTTTCACATAACGATGTTTTGTTTGGAACCAATTAACATCGTTATGTGAGGCACCACTGTACCTTGCTTCTTCAAATCTCCTTCCTTGTCCCTGGAACATATGCTCCATAATCTCGATGTCAGACGTGCCCTGGCCTTCTATGTCGAAAGGACAAAAACTTTCAGAAAGTCCAATAAACTTTTTCTTTGCTTTCACGGCCCAAACAAAGGGGCTCCAGCCTCCTCCCAATCCATAGCACGCTGGATTGTACAGACTATCTCCCTTGCTTACAGCTTGTCGGGGAAATCCCCTTCAGAACATTTGACAGCTCATTCCACCAGGGCGCTGTACACCTCTACTGCCTTTCAACGTGGCACCGAGGTTCCTGACATCTGCCGTGCCACTACGTGGTCCACACCATCCACGTTTGTCAAACACTGCCAGCTGGACATCAGAGCATGCCAAGATGCTGCATTTGGCAGAGCTGTCCTGTCATCCTTCTTACTGTGACGACCCACCAACTGGTAAGTGCAGCTTGCTAGTCACCCATATGTGTGCATTCACAGAGGCCACGAAAAAGAGGTTACTTACCTGTAACCATAGTTCTTTGAGTGGTCCTCTGTGAATTCACACAACCCACCCATCCTTCCCCTCTATCCATCACAGGCTTATTATATAATTAATTAATTCTTTCCTTCATACCTGGCGGATAAAATTCAGGAACTGGGGAAGATCGTGGGTGGCAGGATCACACCATAAAATTGTTACTTTTAGATCTAGAATCTTCCGAGAGAGTCAGCGCAGGCGCAGACAATACCCATATGTGTGAGGACCACTCAAAGAACTATGGTTACAGGTAAGTAACCTCTTTTTAATTTACTCCTGAATCTGAAAAGGTAGGGAGACAAATCGGCAACTAAACATTCCTTCTAAAAATCAGCAACTGGATAGATTTATATCTTGTCCTAATGACAGAGAAAGGGGTCCACTGGAACACCTTCCCAACATGATTAAATCCTCAACACTGGAAACGCCTTTGTTCCTTCCACAAGAAGATTTTGAGTGTGGCGTAGTCACCTCCCCATTGGAAGAAACAGAGAAGTTCACACAAGGAAGAGAAGGATGTCAATAAGCCAGCTAAGCTTTGAAAAAGTAGATATTTTGCTTGCTCCTATGCAGATGAAATCCACTTTGTTCAAACAGATGAGTGTATTTCTTGCAAAGTAGAAATAACATTGATTTTTGGTGTGTATGTGTCTTTCCAGATGAACAATGCTCTGATGCAAGAAAGACAAAGTCCAAGTTCGCCCCTGGGGTTTACTCCCCGATCTCCTCTTTCTGCCTACAATCCGTCGCTCCAGGTAGAAGCTGGAAGATCTGCTGAGTACCTGAACACAACCACAGCTAAACATTCCCTAAGTTCAGAAGAAAATGAGCTGGACAAAGCCTGCCATGTCCAGTAAAACCACAAGTACTCCTGCCATTTCCACTGGCCATACTGGCTGGGAGTTTCTAGGACTTGTAGTATTTGGAGTTTTTTTTTTTAAAAAAAATCCCTTTCTAGCCTCTGTAAAAAAAAACTATTGCCCATAAACGCTCACTTTTCTGATGGTTGTCGTGGGTTTTTCGGGCTCTTTGGCCGTGTTCTGGAGGTTTTTCTTCCTGACGTTTCGCCAGTCTCTGTGGCCGGCATCTTCAGAGGACTGGAGTAGGAACCCTGTCCATGCTCTGTCTAGTTTTCTATTTTTTTCCTCACTTTTCTGTTCTTTTTTTTAACCATTCCACATACATTATGCTTGGAGGTGAACTCCTATACCCACCTCTCCTTGCTGTCAGGGTTATTCAGGGCTTTCCTGCTTTAACCTCCTAAATCAGAATCGAAACTCCAGAACATGTCAGAGAGAAGAAATGTGTTCTACTGTAGGTTGTGCCAGCCTCTTAGCCTAGGAAGCAAGTTATTAATTTAATTCAGAACTATCCAATAATATGATGTTAACTGTACTGCCTCCAGAAGAAGGAATTGGATGTGGATGGCCTTCCCTTCAAAAACATTATTTCCGGGCTAGAGGTGTTTTATTCCTTTCCTGTACAGTTCTCTTTTGCCCCAGGTTGGAGATAATATTGGACAGCTGCTAGCTGTAGAGGTTGTCATTACTTTCTCAGAAACCTTCAGGTCTACTCTGGTCTTGACAGACATCAGAAAGTCCAGCAATATACAGTGATGTCTTTGAAGACAAATGCCTCACGCAATGAAAAACCCGCAAGATGAAAGCGTTTTGCGATTTTTTTTGTGACTCGCAAGATGAATTTTTCTATGGCCGTGCTTCGCAAGACAGATTTCCCCCTTTTTTTGGTTTGTTTTAAATCGCACAACCGTTAGTACCTCACTTCACAAGACAAAATTTTCACAATGCGACACGACTCATGGAATGAATGAATTAATTTCGTCCTGCGAGGCATCACTGTATAGCACTCTACCTGAGCAGAAAGGAGTCTAAGAAAAGCCAAGTGTCTTAGCCGATGTGTGCCAGAAGAGAATTCTGCTGGCAGATCTATCAGCAGAAGAGAGTTCTGCCAGCAGAAGAAACTTGTGCCCAGTCCCAGCCTTTTACAGCTGACACATGTTTGAGTTAGGGTTGCACTGTAACTTAGTACAGGCCGTTCCCAGGCAGCTTCAAAACTGAAGCAAGCACAGACAAGCTGGAAAGAACCTATGCACTTGTCAGAAGCATTCTCATAAAATGAGTTCTCGCCACTCAAGTCTAATAATTTCTGTCACCTTCCAGTCTTGTCCGCTGGAATTTATTCACATGGTCTTCAAAGTTGCCGTCTACCCTTCTGTGGGTGAAAAGGTCCACTTGGAAAATTGTTGCCATTAAGAGAGAGAGAGAGAGAAAACAAGCAACCAAAAATGTGTTGTATACAATAGGTCTGGACTGACATCATTTCAAATAAGAAACCTTTAGAACAGTAATTTTCAAATTGGAACACATAGTCTCAAGGGTACTCAAGCTCTCATCAAGGTTACAAAGTACCTAAGAGATACAGATTAAAGACACTTCAGGGAACAAAAATAGCTTGCTGCTGTACAATCCTGTTAAGTGGCTTCTCCCCCCCATCCACATTCCAACCTCTTTTTTTTTCAAGATTACCTTTTAGTGTTTCATTTCATCGTGGTTGTGCAAGCAAAACAATTCTCTAAATTTCTAAATCTGTCAGTGTCTTCCAAAGCAAGACAGGTGAGAAGCCACAGAATAAAAATAGTTATGCACACCCTGGAGGGAACGTGGGTTCCTCAGACAGCTTGTGTTCCCTTCACTGAAGCCTATATAAGAAGCCAATTTTGAAACTGAGGAAAGTTTACGATGATATGGCAAGGAGATCCAGGGTTCAGAGGAAGTAATCCCTTGTGTAACTGAGGGCCATACCTGACGTGGATTTGGGGGTCCTTATCTTAAGAGTGGGATGAATCCCAAGCTGGCATTAAGATGGCCAGAAGAGATATCAACACCTCAGATATGCAGATGATACCACTCTGATGGCAGAAA